TAGAAACACATTACATAGTTAATACTTGATCAATCTTGATCAGTCTTTTCTCTAAAAAATATCTAGTTCAATAACACTTTGAATGCTTTGTTTGAAACCTGATTATCATGTGTCGAATGTTATATTTTTGTGGAAGCCTAGGACACTTTACTCTCCTTACATTCTTTTACAGCTTTCTCACCATCTTTCATTAGTTCAAACTCTCTGTATAATCATTTTTCACAGCGTTTCAGTCTCTTTCTTTTCATCTCCTAAGAATTTTCTTTCATCTGTGTCTTCCTCCATTTGCCCCACTCAGAACCTTTGTTGGTTAGGGCCCTGGGTATGCGTGGGTAACCCCGGTGCCCATGTGAAGGCTGTGGACTCACAGAGCCTCAGTGTCAGTAGATGAAAGAAGAGGGAGAATCTGGGGCTGGCACCCATCTTCCTCTGTCCTGCCACCGTGGCCTCTTATTTCACAGAGAAAATTAATAACTTTAACAAACATCAATGAGCCACGGCCTGATGCTCGGTTGGCTTGTCAGCTGGCCTGTGTGTATGTGAGCGTGTGTGTGTGTGTACTGAGCACACATGCTGGATATCCGTCTTTCCCTGCATTTTTAGGCATACATGTGTGCATGCATATGTGTTGCAGCAGATACGTCGTAGTTTCCTAGACAGTTGAACACCAGAAAGCACCTGGCAGGAATAGCACAAGACAGATTCATGGCGGTTTGATGAAGGGTGACAGAAAGGGAGAGTTTTTGTCAGAGATGTGTCAGTCTTCACTTTGGTTTAATCTGGCTGGATTGTTGTCTGCTTTAAAGGCCATGATGTCCTTTTTTGGATGCCAAAAAGAACCAAAAGATAGATGGATTTAGGGAGGGTTAGATGGGAACATGTGACCACTTCTAAAGCATTGTCGACAGCCACGTTGAATAGGCAGTGGGCCTGCCTGGAGCCATGCCTGTATTTATCATCTTCAAAGAAGGATGACACACACACACACATGCTTACGCTCACTCATGTTTTTAGTTACAGGAAAAGATATTATTCTGCAAATATATGTTTGCACAAATGTTCATTTAGATTTGTACTCAAACATGATGCATATCTAGATAAACATACACTGTTAACATGATCGTGTTAACAATTATGATACTTTATAAGTCACAATCCATATCCAAAAGTGTGGGAATATGATTTACTATTTAGTTATAGATGTCAAAATAAAAGATCTGTCTAATTATGATAAGACAAATAATCATACTATGAAATGCATATAAAAACTATAGGAAACTACAGGTCTTATCAAAGGGGTTTGTGTAAATTATGAAAGGCATACATCCCCATAGCATACAGTGAGTCCAAGAAGTATTTGATCCCTCGCTGATTTTCTTCGTTTGCCCACTAATCAAGATGTGATCATTCTGCACGTTTAATGGTAGATGTATTCTAACATGGAAAGACAGAATATCACAAAGAAAATCCTGAAAAAAAATCTAAGGAATATATATGAATTAATTTGTATTTCATTGAGGGAAATAAGTATTTGATCCCTCAGTATGCATTAGGAGTCCTGCCTTTCACAGAGCAGTTAGACACTCCCAATCAGCTTGTTACCTGAACTGAAGCCACCTGTTCTCACTACTCACTTGTGTGAAAAAAAAACCTGTTCACAGAATCAGACAATCTGACAGATTTCAAGTCTCCAACATGGGTAAGACCAAAGAGCTGTCTCAGGACCTCAGAGTCAGGGTTGTTGACCTCCACAAAGCTGGAATGGCCTACAAAAAGATTAGCAAGGTGTTGGATGTGAAAGTAACAACTATTGGTGCAATTGTTAGAAAATTTAAAGAGTATAACATGACCATCAATAGACCTCGGCCTGGTGCTCCAAAGAAGATTTCACCTCTTGGGGTGACAATGCTCCTGAGAACGGTCAGAAATAATCCTGCAACCACTCGTCAGGAGTTGGTAAATGACCTGAAGACAGCTGGGACCACAGTGTGCAAAGAAACAATTGGCAACACTTTGCGCAACAATGGACTAACATCCTGCAGTGCCCGAAAGGTACCCCTGCTCAAGAAGGCACATGTGGAGGCGCGCCTTAAGTATGCCAATGATCACCTGAAAGATGAACCAAGTTATTGGGAGAAGGTTCTGTGGTCAGACGAGATCAAAATTGAACTTTTTGGGCTCAACTCTATCCGCCATGTGTGGAGGAAGAAAAATGCTGCCTATGACCCCAAGAACACTGTGCCCACCGTCAAGCATGGAGGTGGAAGCATAATGTTTTGGGGGTGTTTCTCTGCCAAGGGTACAGGGCTACTTCACCGCATCAATGGGAAGATGGATGGAGCCATGTACCGTACAATCCTGAGGGACAACCTCATCCCTTTTGCCAGGAAGCTGAAAATGGGACGTGGTTGGGTCTTCCAACATGATAACGACCCCAAACACACAGCAAAGGCAACAAAGCATTGGCTCAAGAAACATCACATGAAGGTCATGGAGTGGCCCGGCCAGTCTCCGGACCTCAATCCGATTGAGAATCTATGGAGGGAGCTGAAGGTCAGAGTTGCCAAGCGACAGCCCACCAACCTTCCTGATTTAGAGAGGATCTGCAAAGAAGAGTGGGTTAAAATTCCCCCTGGTGTGTGTGCTAAACTTGTGGTTAACTACAACAAACGTCTCACTGCTGTACTTGCTAACAAAGGCTTTGCCACTAAGTATTGACTGTGTTTGGCTAGAGGGATCAAATACTTATTTCCCTCAATAAAATACAAATTAATTAATATATATTCCTTCGATTTTTTTTCAGGATTTTCTTTGTGATATTCTGTCTCTCCATGTTAGAATACATCTACCATTAAACGTGCAGAATGATCACATCTTTATTAGTGGGCAAACGAAGAAAATCAGCAAGGGATCAAATACTTCTTGGACTCACTGTATATATTTCATTTAAATGTTTACCTTCCTGTGAGTCTTAACCTAAATTAATTGAGCTACATTCCTGAAACCTGTTGGAGAAATGGAACGCATGTAAGACAAAACATGCAGCATTGTTATGAAAATGTCGGTAAAGTGGCCCTTGTACACATAATTAGTAGCTAGAAAGTATAGAGCATAGGTGTAAATCTAATTCTCCAACGCCTGGTGGTGAAGGAGTTCTATCTGATTGGCTGTTCAGCAAAGTCAATATGTGCACAAGTTAGAAAGTGACAGACTGTATGTAACTGCATCAGGTCTCTCCAGATACTCCAGTTTCCTCCCAAAAACGTACATGATAGGATCATTAGTGATTCTAAATGGATCATAGTAGTGAGCCTGAGTGTGTGTGGCTGTGTGTCTCGTTCATCTCTGTGTGGCCCGGGCTACCTATCCAGAGTTGATTCCAGCCCTACTTGACACTAATTCTACCAATCAGTGGTGTTATGGATGGAAATAGTTCCAATCACGTGACATGATTCAGAAAGGTGTCCATGTAACCCATATTACTAACTAATTGAGGCTACGTGATGTTAATCTTGGGGGGGGGACAAAACGAGTGTGAGACACCAGAGAATCTGGTCTGAGATTCTCAGTCTAACTCACACACAATGTAGGAATGGTCTAGCATGCCAAGCCCTTTGAAAGCATGCCATTTATGCAGAGCACTGAAGTGTTAGATTTAACAACCGAGATAAAATGCAATAAATGAGATTTAGAGATAGTGATAGGTGGATTTGGTAACCTTTGGACAAACTCAGACTGCCTGTTGTCCCATATTTCCTGGTAGCTTTTATTCCTCCTTGACAAACACAATTCTAAATTAAACTATTTTTTCGACTATCTTTCAAGTGCAGGTTTTAAAAGAGGTGGACGATGACAGCTCACACATCTCACTTTTAGTGGAGACGTCTGGCCTCTGTAGCACATCCCCATAAATGTAAGCGCATTCTCTGTTTACCTTTTTTGTGAAAAAGCAGAGAGAAGTTCTGCCTCCAAAATGCGGAGAAATCTGGTAACACTCACACCTTTATGACAAATCTTGATTTTTTGTAACCAGTTTGCATATTTGTTCCATACCAGAAAGTGTCCGTAGAAGTTCTATTTTAGCTGGAAAGTAAACACCACTATGGATGGCTGTTTACTTTTTGTGAATCCCACTCTTTGCCTTTCACTGTTCCATCAAAAGACATGAAAGGCAGCAGTGCAGCAAAAATACTTTTTGGTGTTTACACTCACAAATAATAAAACATAAAGTGTGGAAAACCTCAGATTTGCACAGTTCGATTCATTCAAAGGAGGCTGCCCCAAGAAACAGTGGTGAGACCACCGATTTTCTGCTGGCAAATATTTGGAGAGCTAATTTTGAGGGGCTGAGCCTGCTGACCTGTGTGAGTGTTTGTGTGGATATGTGTGCTAGCCACAGGCTGCCGGAGAACCAGGGCTAGACTGGCAAAAGGATTTAAATGAATTTGTCTTCTTTGGAAAGCTGACATGATCTGATTACCAATAAATCAGGATATTTATCTTGCTGGCAGCTGATGTGATGTCACCCAGTCACCCAGTAAATCACACTGTCACTAAGTCAGAAAGTCTTTCATCAGAGCAATTACACCACCAGCCAGACACCCGGGCAATTAGTCACCACCGGTAAATTACCCCCATTACTTGGTCAATGACTATACAGTCCAACAGCCAGTGACTCTTTATCACGTTTGATACTGTAATGCACCAGGGATCAATTACCGGCAGCTCTGCTCTGACAAATCTATCAACTTTAATTGATACTGACAGTTTACTGGATCCTGAAAACCAGATAAGTTACTAGCTGAGCTGTCAAAGCAACGACAAAAAGGAGGAAACATGACGTGGGCGACAACAAAGGGGCAAAGTTTTCTTTCTCTTGCTGATCTCCTGCCTGCCAGCAGAGTGTGGACAGGACTCTCCAGTGCGCCCTGTGCCCGGGAGGGGCGGGGAGGGTGGCAGAGTGCAGGGACACAGGGAGCGAGGGAGAGAGGGAGAGAGGAGGAGGAGGAGGAGGAGGAGGAGGGCAGGACTGGCAGGGTGCGGTCTAAGTGGCAACAGATCGTTTGGGATCACTCAAATCCCTTCAATTCAGCTGGAAGGCTACAGCTTGTCGTACCGCGCATATGGAGAGGAAACAGTCCGGTCAGGGCATCAAGCAAAAAGCAAAAACGACAGTGGCTGAGGCTGTGACAGTTTTCCCATAGCAAAAGAGAGAGGTGGGGAGAAACCACAACACTGCAACTTGGATATCAGTGACCGCTCTCTCTCTCTTTAACTCTCACACCCACCAGATCGACTTTGAACCTGTTTGTTTAAATACACGGACTTTACAGCCTGCACACTTACTGTTGGTTCTGTAAGGCGGTGGGAGCGGAGTTTTTCTCACTTTTGCGTCTGTGATTTGGAGGAGCGAGAAAAACTTTTCGTTGTCCTGATGGTGCCCCGCGCAGGGAAGACGCTGATCTTCTTTTATCCGAATTTGCCGGATGTGCGACTGTCACGGACAATGAAAACTAAGCCGAGGAGGTACTGAAGTCATCTCTCTCTCCCCCGGGAGAGTCCTCCCTCCCCCCGGGGCGATGCGGATCTCCCTCTCCCCTCTCACCGCCTCTCTGTGTGCCTCGGTCCTCCTCCTCCTCCTCCTCGCACCTGCCTCGGAGGGCTGCGGACCGGGGAGGGGATACGGCAAGAGGCGGCTCCCGAAGAAGCTCATCCCGCTGGCCTACAAGCAGTTCAGTCCCAACGTGGCCGAGAAGACCCTGGGGGCCAGCGGGCGTCCGGAGGGCAAAATTACGCGCAACTCCGAGCGCTTCAAAGAACTCACGCCAAATTACAACACGGACATCATCTTTAAAGATGAGGAGGACACAGGTGCCGACAGGCTCATGACCCAGGTGAGCCCGGGTTTATGTGTGTGTGTGTGATTTTTTAGGTGTGTGTGAGTGTGTGTGTTTGGGGGTGATGGCGTGAAAATGAACTGTCAAGCCCTTTGCGTCAAAGTGATTTTACTTATCTGTCATTCTTCCCAAAGGTATAAAAAACCTCTTTCTCAACATCATTTTCGTTAATCAGGACTATCATGTTCCACTTAGCCGGATGAAAGAGGTCACTTTAGGCCAGATTAGTTCCACTGTTGCCCTCAATTGTCTGCTAAATGTTTGCTGTCAGTTAAATGTTTAAACCAATTGATTTCATTAACCCTTGGTTTCACCCCGGGATTGTGCTACTTGACATTCTTAGCTGCTCCTGTTCCTTTGTAATTTAGTGTTTATTCCCAGTCTCCTGTTTGACTGGGGACCTTTGGTGTAGAAAATCAAATAAGGCCTAAAAGGAAATTCCGTTTAACCTGCAACAACCAGAGTAAGAATGTCCCTCTAGCAAGTGAAATGTAGGCTCATTCATTTGTTGTGATATATTTTTCATGGGACGACCTCACGGCTTAGCATTTTATTCAAATAGAACTCTACCACTGAGTCATCTTGACCCCACAAGAGCTAAATCATTCAAAGCAAACACCCAGTCCTGGCTGTGTGGACTTTGAACACTCACCTGGCAGAATTCACCTGACTCGCTTTTAAAACGCACTTACAATTTTCATTGCAGCTCCTGTGCTCCTCTGGCATATTTCGACCAAGTTAACAGATACTTTATTGCGGATATTAACCATCAACAATCTTGCTCGCTTTTCCCCAGCAGCCTGTTCGGTTCCTCTTATCCACTTTGACCGTCTCAGAGTGATGCTGCCCCTTTACAGATGAGGCACAGGACTGTCCACCCAAGATTTTCTGGATTTGCATCTGATTGTTTGTCTAACTACTTACCGTGTCCATCTCTCTCTCTCTCTCTCTCTCTTTTTCAGCGCTGTAAAGACAAATTGAACTCTCTGGCCATCTCGGTGATGAACATGTGGCCAGGTGTGAAGCTGAGGGTGACAGAGGGCTGGGACGAGGACGGCCATCACTCGGAGGACTCGTTGCACTATGAGGGCCGTGCTGTTGACATTACCACCTCTGACAGGTAGGCACCAGGAGGTCACTGTGTGTTTCAGAGCGAGCCGACAAAATCCCCTTTAAACGGAAAAAAGGCAGTCGGTCAATAAACCAGAGAAATGTGATGAGTCAGTGAGCAAACAAGATTTGTTTTTCAGAAATCCAGAAGGATCTGCTTTAAAAACAACAGAATGAATGGAAATGCTTTTCCTCTTTGAAGACTATAGGAGGGGTATTCTTTTGAGCCGGCTAAATCATTGGAAGTTAGGAATATTTCTTTCTTCTTCACAGGGACAGAAATAAGTATGCCATGCTGGCCCGCTTGGCTGTAGAAGCTGGATTTGACTGGGTCTACTATGAGTCCAAAGCCCACATTCACTGTAGCGTCAAGTCGGGTAAGAGATGAATCTAATCCACTGTTCGAACTCACCTTTGTGATTTTTGCATTTTTTGTATTTCTGTCTGGCTGTCTTTGTCTAATGAGATTGATGCTAGACGCTCAGTGATGGTCTGGTTTGCCTTTCAGAGCCTGTATCATCAGTCTGTTAGTTTGTTTGTGTGAATGGCCTATTGGGAGCCAATCAAAGCAGGGTGTGCACCTGTGCTCTTTGCCTTATTTAGTCTTACATATTCACTATTTCTTATCTTAAAGAAACTGACATCAAAGTATATAATATACTGTCCCAAAAATGATAAGTATCTTACACAGAAATAGAATAAATGATGTTATAAGTTTTTGTACATTTAGGGAGACATACGTAGTTAAAACTGTTTAAATAGAGCTACCCCCCAACAAAAAAAATAAAAGAAATCGCAAACAATAGCTGACAACATTCCACCACCAGTTACTTCAACTTTTGAAAGATTTGTGAAATCTATTAACCCATGTCTGGTACCACCAGCCATTTGATGCCAGACCACATTCTAGCAGTCTGCTGAGGCTAGTAGGCTGAGCGATGATTAACTCCCCCTTTGTTTTTGCTGTTGCTTTTCCTTCAGTAAGTTTCTGTCAGATCTCTTATCTGAGTCTTATCACAGCCCTCCTTTTCTGCAGCCTTTAGGCTTACAGACACACACACCTTGGACAAATATTTGGCTGCCTTAAGACAGCCCTCCCTCACAAACACACTTTTACACACTCACACAAAGACACCGACACATACTGGCCATTTTCCTCCTTCAAAAAGAAAGGATTTTGTTCTAGTCGATTCTGTTGTTTTCTGAGGTTAAGATTTGGTGTTAGGATCAAAGCGGACTGCCGCGTCTCAATTGTCACTCAGCCACTGAAAGTGGACATGTGACTTGGTTTAAATCTCAAACTGTGCTGTAATCCAAACAGTATCTAAAGCCAGGTCTGGGAGTGTGTACTTTCCGTCTCCCTGACCCCGGGCCATGCACTGACTGCTGTGATATGATCAGCTGGTTATCCATTAGCTCCTGCCGACTACTCCATCTTGCCACCTCATCCCCCTGCATCTTAAAGGGCCCAACTAATTCAGACACACTCAACATGAGATCTGTGGGGCAACCTGTGGCAACACTGATAGAAATGAATCAGAGTAACCTAAAGGAAAAAGGGCTAACCGTTTCCCCTCAAAATTTCTCAACTTATTCAAGCTACGCAGCACTTTTGGTTTGAGAAATGATTTGTATCAAAAAGTGCTCATTTAAGAACATGTTAAACTAAGCCTCAGGAAGCAATCTTTTACTAGTTTCTTCATGAAAAGCCTTGAGAAAAAACTCAACTTAAATTAGCGATGAAAGCAAAAGATGCTAAAATGATGTGGATAAACTTGTGATTCCTTTCCAATTTACATATGTTTAAAAAAGCATTTTATGTTTCTGGGTGTGCTTGAGTTCTAATCACGGGGAGAACACATAGTTTACCGCTGTGATCTGCTGAGATAAAGTTGTTCGGGAGTCGGTGTCAAAGTCTCACCTGCTTTATAGATCACTCAGTGACCCAGAATAACATGCAGGTGCAGTCACCGTTGAAGGCCAAATGCGCATGGTTGCACAACTCCAAAGTGGAATTCAAACTGCATTTTTTTCTTTTTCGGTTTAATATCCTTGTCTCTGCTAAGAAATAAGCAATTCAATGAAGCCGCTCATTTAATAGGATTAATAAAGATAAAATAACCTTGTTTTTCTCCACTTCTACAGAGCATTCCGTGGCAGCAAAAACCGGTGGATGTTTCTCCGGTGACGCTCAGGTTATCCTTGAAGGCGGCGGTACCAAATCAATGCGTTACCTCCAGCCTGGTGACCGGGTCTTAGCCTCCTCCATGTCAGACGGCAGTGCTTCCCCCGTGTACAGTCCTGTCGTGTCCTTTTTGGACCGCCAGCCCAATGCCACAAAGATCTTCTACATCATCGGGACGGACGCGGGGCTGAACATTACGCTCACGGCTGCTCACCTAATCTTTGCCGCAGACTGTGCTGGCGGAGTGAACGGGTCAGGGTCGGAAAAAGACCCTCTCCAGACAACTCTTGGGGTGCCCCGGCCAAGTCGCGAAGCCGGTCTGAGGACGGTTTTTGCGAGTGAGGTCCGTCCGGGAGAGTGCGTGCTCACATCAAGGGGGGATGCAAAGTCACACGCCAAACTTTCCCTCGTGACATTTGTGAAGGAGCAGAGGGACACGGGCCTGTACGCCCCTCTTACCCAGCATGGCTCTATCGTGGTGAACGGTGTGCTAGCATCCTGCTATGCTGCTGTGGACAGTCACCGCTTGTCTCACTGGGCCTTGGCCCCACTAAGACTCCTCTACAGCGTGATGGGGCCTTCACAAGCACAGAGCAACGGGATGCACTGGTACCCTCGGCTTCTACAGAGGTTAGGGAAAACACTTCTGGACGCTGGACGCTTCCACCCCTGGGGTATTGAACAATGACATTTTTTGGGAGTCACAGGGGGCCACAAACAAACAGAGCACAACTGTTTTCCTCTTTTCGAAGACAGCAACTGACAGGCCACCGAAACCAACTGATTTTATCGTGTAAATTTGTTTTCTACTCATTCTACTTGACCATGTTTGCTGTTCTTTTTCATGAAGTAGGGACACAGAGAAAATTTGAGAAGACTGATATGTTGCAGAAAATCTGGCACAGTTCAGTTAGTGAATCAGAATTCCAAAAGCCTGCAAAAATATCGTCGTTTAGTACTTTTGAATGTTTACCTTGATGTTTCCACTTTTCTATCAGAACAAGAAATTAATTAGCGAGGGACATTTTATTTAAGCAAAAACAGACTATGTGGCGAAAGATTCAGGTTAGATAATTCTTCATTATATATTTGACAGAATATGTCAGAAGTTGTCAACTGACGGCACTCAAACATATTTTGTGAATTTCTGGCTGAAGGGGGAAGGTTAAGATGACCACAAGGTGGTAACATTTTAGAGGGAGGAGGAGGAGGAGGGAAAAAAGAAAGAAAAGTAGTGACTTAACATGGTGAGATGTGAAGATTTTTTCTATACTTAGGTATTTATATCGTGAATTCTTGTTAGAAAGGAATGAGCGGTTTAATTTAAGAATAATTACTGCGGCAAACTCACAGATTATTTACTCCTCTTTTTAGAGCCTTACTGTATATTAACTGGAGATTTTAAGTGCACGTGTATAATGAAGTGCAGTTCAATGCAGTGTTAATAGTGTGCTGGTGTTGCACTGCAGATTCATATCCATAAACAGATTCAGTGGAACTGTTGAATGGAAATAACTTGAGGTGGAGACCCAGTATTTGTGTTATAACATGTACACGTACAGACTATTCCGACTTACTGCTGCAAGCTAGAGGCACAATACTGTAACGAACAACCGATCTGCCATCTGCTTTATTGCAACTTAATTGCCTTGAGCTGATTTAAATGTGTCATTTACATTGTATCAGGTAGTTTTATTTAAAATGTTGGTTTTTCATTGTTTGATTGGGTCACTTTTCAGGTCAGTAGTAAGACTCAGGCTGTATTTGACTACTGTATTATTATTATCACCTATGCATCATATCAAACAGCAGTTATTATTTTGTATTCCTGAATAACTCATGTTTATTTGATTGTTTTCCTTTGCATGATCTTTTTTATGCTGGTTTTTATCTCTTTCCTCAGACATGAAATCTAATGACCATTAACAATAAGGGTATGGCAAGAATTTCTACTGTTGCGCTTGGCGGCTGAATATGAATGGTAAATATCAAATATGTTTTGAAATTGTACAAGTGCCCCTAGTTGAGAGTTCTTCGTGAAAACTCACATTTTGGAATTATATTGAAACTCCAGGTATTCATATGTATGACTGCTCAAAGAATTGTCAAATATGTATATTAAGCTAATGTTGAAGAGACTATTTAAAGTTCTATTTTTTAGAAAATGCTGTAAATGTATTATTATTTTTTTGCCAAATCTGTTTAGAAGATTTGTATTTGCCGTAAAAGTTATATGTCTGTAAAGCAGAAATTGTTGTGCATTTTTGATAGTGAGGAAGTAAAAAAAAGAAGAGTTCTATGTTGTAGTCTCAAATGAATGGTTTATGTAATAAACTCAGCTTTAGAAACGTTCTTCATCCTTTCAAATGTTTTCGCCGTTGCGAATTAAAGGGTTTTGGACATAAACAGACATGATCTGCTGAACATAGACAAATGACTTACTGGCCGCCATGGAATATTATTCATCACAGTGACTGTTGCAATGTGAATAGAGCAAAGATGGCTGTGGTTACGGGGTGGGCTGCCGCGTGCTTTCAGTACCAAGGACAGCAGCACTAGATAGAGTCCCTCTTTGCCTGTCTAGCCCTCTCCATTTTCCCAGGATGAGAGCATGCCCTTGATCACAGCACATCCTGCTGGTCATGCCTGTATTTACAGAGAACAGGTTAGGGTTAGTTTTTTTTCTATCAAATTTGAATACCATAACATCGTTTTTTATCACCATTTGTCCACGTGATGAAAGGCTTATCGGCAAAATCAAAACAGAAATGAAACAGAAAAGTAGATTCTAAGTCATCTTTATTATTATTGGTCAGTTAGTTACAGGGAAAGCCTTTTTCGTCACGTCCCATAGATTACCGCAGGAGACTGATCCATAAAGATGTTTACTGAACCAGACCCAGGTAAAACACTCCAATTTACGCATAAAAGTTTAAAACAAAATGTGAGGATGATTGGTTCTTTCAAATGTGCAGACGTTAACTCTCAAAAGAGATGTTTTTAAATACAAATGCAAAAAATGAATGCACATCCAAAGTGGCTAAAATACTGAAAATCATTAGAAAAACTTTGCACCTGAGTCTGGTGGCTTTAAAAGTATCTCTATGAGTCTTGCCTCCTCTAGATTAACTGTTTGGACCACGATACCTTGCAACATTTTGAGGCCCGGCAGATGGAAAATCATCAGTTTAATCATGACAAATTTAAAACAAAGACTAAAATAGCGAGAAAACAAACAAACATGACTGTTCGACCCATCCCTCTCATAAAAAATAACCCAGAAAAAACAAACAAACAAGTGTTGTCAAAGAAAAAGACGTGGTAAATTTAAACTGCCTCAAAAGTGATCCAAGTATCACTGTCTCGAATTAAGGGTGTTCACACAACAGCACATGGAAAATCAGCATGCTCACAGTAACTCACATACAGATATGAATGTCTTCATAGAATATGTATCTGTCATCACAGCTTGGCAAAATTACACTTATACACAACAAATGCACAATAACACCTGGAACCATAATACCAGCCAGTGGAAAAAAGACCCTAAATGTTTAAACTGGTCCTGGACCATCACAAAAACTTCCCGAAGAGGACAACCCTAAACCCATGATAGGTGGCGGTATCATCCAATAACAATAGCCTATAGATAAAGATTTCTCAAACTTTGCATAAACACACATACAGATACACACGCACACACATTCACACACATTTTCTCACATGCTCCTTACACATTAATAACTCCATGAGAATCATGAATATTTTGTGTCAGTGACTGAATGAATGACTGGGTTAGTTCAAACTACGCAGCTACGTTTAGAGCAGTAAACTTTACAGAAGTACAAAATACTCTGCAATATCCTCAGTTGACAATTATGTCCACATAGTTACAACAGGCTTTATGTAATCATTGCTTGGCGGAATACAAAAATAAAAGAAGTTGCTCTGGTGCATATTTTGTATAATCTGCATTGGAGCTCACTGGTCTCCGTGCAAATGGAGGAAACTATTCTGGACACGTTTTTTTTCTTGTTATAATGAATGAGGCTGGCTAAGTTATATATTTGATTAGTGTTAGGGTTTTTACTATTAGACTACCAGTAGCAGCTTCTCAGTAATGTTTGCTAGCTTTACAGCAAGCTTGGCTTATGCATATCAGGAATCATTTGAGGGCGAAAATAAAGACGATTTCACACAGCTCCATATAACTTTGAGAAAAAGAATCATGTTAACTAATTATAAGAATGGTCACATTTTCTTTGTACCCTTTTAGACTTTGTGACCAATTTTTTTTCATTTTGTATTCCTGCTGTCAATTCTAATTTTGGTCCTTTCTGGAGACTATTTCTCCGTACATGCCTTATTTTGGATATTACCTAACAGGGTATACTACTTTTTCCACCACAGACTCTAAACTAACACAACAACCAGGGGCCCATTCTCGACAACTCAACAATACAAGTAGGGATCAAAGAATAGCCTGGATATGTCCTGAAGGCAATGTGTCACCAGTCACCAGTCTTAGTTCTTCAGTATTTTTAGATTAGAACTGCCTGGGCAATTAAGCTCAGATCCTTTTATATTTATCATTTATAATTACTGTTGCAAAGTTACTGATGTGAATTCTGCATGCTAGATTGTGGTAAGAAGTTTTAAGAGTGTTAATGTTTCCTTCTATTTCTCTCTGTAGTGTCATTCATTTGAGTATTTTCTTGTTTTGTCAGCAGATCTGCTTTTATAAAGCAGTTTTAAGGGCTTATTTGTATATTTGGGTACTCTGCTACACTTTGCATCAATCCAAGATTTTTTCATTTTTTTAGCCATCATAATGGATCTCCCTCTTTTACGATGAGACATGACCGAGACCAGTTGTAGCCATTGCATAGGTCAATCATTTGTCTGCCTGACTCAGTATTACTGGGACCTTCTAGAAGATCTACAAAATAATGGGACCTGTGAGATGGCTACATCTGAGTATATAAATGTTTGCAGAAACGTGTAGAAATGCAAAGATCCACAGAGTAGCAGACCTTACAAAATGCTTGATTTCATCCAGGGCTGTCACAGCTCTGCTTCTATGGCCAAAGTCCTTGTGAAGATACAGTTTTGGGGCATAAGATGGGGAAGAAGATATAGGCAATAGGAGTATAGACAAAAAAAAAACAAAAAAAAAACAAAGGCCTCCATCCCTTTCACAGCCTCTGGGTGAAGTTTTCAGGAAACACTCCTTTAGTGGCCTTTTCTTTGTTTTGCTGCCAGTCTTCTTGCTTCATTCCCATCAGCCAACCGTCATCCTAAATGACAAACATTCAAACATGCACTTATTTCGGTAATTCTGTGACAGCACGGCACTTGACTATGTAAATGTAAATGTGTGTCTCTCTTTATGTGCATACCTGTTCTTCAGGGTTGTCGAAGGAGATTACTAGCACCACATCGCCCGCCTTCATCTCTAGTTCATCTGTGTCATTGGCAGCATAATCGTGCATCACCTGGACCTTTTTTTTAAGGATAGAAATAGCACTGATTATCTCTGCACACAAAAGACACATTTCAAGGCATGTGCACCAGTCTGACAGTTAGTCTTTGATCCATTTTTACCTTGAACAGGAATCTAGGGGGCATTTCTGTAGGTTCTGATGACTCTGTTGATTCGGACACTGTTGTTTCTGCGGCAGGTGTCTGTGGCTGGGACACACACACACACACAAAAATAAAAAACATGGTGGAAAGTTTGAGACAATGCAACAATGCATTTTTTTTCCAAGTCACACAATTAGGCTTATGAAGTCCCTCCTTTCTTCAAGAAAACAATTAATTGGAGAAAAGAAAATAAAGAATCTGAAATGATGGATGAAACATTTCTGATTGAGTATCTCGCTGTCAATGTAGAGTATTAAAAAAGTATTTTTACTGTCGGCTGTGTGCTATTTAAATCCCTCCTGCACTCACCTCCTCTGTCACCGCTTCTTCTGATGCAGGCACAGCTTCTGCTGGAGACTCACCCTGAAAGCAGAAATGCAGAGAGAATGACAACAGTTTACAGGGTAAGGAAGGTGAATAAAAAAAACCCCAAGAGAATAATGTTAAAGACAGAGGAACATAGAAAGACAGGACAAAAATGGACATAGAAGGACAAGCTCAAAGCCTAAACAGTAAAGTTAAAAATACGACAGGCAATATGCACAAGTGACAAGATCGGATAATATTGTACAGTCAATATGAAATTAAGCTTTGCAAGCATACTTTGTGGATGGGCTTGTGATTAGCAGAGACAGTGGTTCACTGTGCACATTGAGAAGCAGATGTCACTATTCTTTCTCTCCCTATTCCGTTTCTTTTCAGCTTACCTTCTTCATCACACTTGATGCATCCATGATTTTAGTCCAGATGCATCCTAAATCTTTCCATGCCAAGATTTCTCCACCTTTTCCTTTTTTTTTTTTTGCACATTTGATCTGCTTAGTTTTGATGCATCAGGTATCATTATCCTGATGCATCTCCATTTTTTGTCTGTCCTTCGTTACCTGACCCTCCTCATTATCCAACACAGCAGCAGCTTGGGCAGTGTCCTCCTCAGCCACATCAATTGGAGCCTCATCTGCAGATGTTTCCTCTGTGGCAGGTACCTCTGTGGCAGGTACCTCTGTGGCAGGTACCTCTGTGGCAGGCACCTCTGTGGCAGGCACCTCTGTGGCAGGCACCTCTGAAACCGATTGCTCTTTGTCATCTGTCCAGCCTTCCTGGGCCTCAGCCACTGGATCGGAATGAGCCGGCTGGCTCTCACCATCCCCCCATTCGTCCTGGGCAGCAGCCACAGGATCATAGCGAACCGGCAGGGTTCCGTCATCCCCCCAGCCCTCTGAGGCGGCTGCTATGGGGTCATAGTGGACGGGGTTTGTACCGTCGTCTCCCCAGGCCTCTGTGGCGGCAGCAACAGGATCAAAGTGCTGCTTGGTTTCTTCTTCCTGGTCACCACCATCCTCATGCTGAGGGGCAAGGGTCAGGTTTCAAGCAATCAGAAGTCAAAAGAATAATTTTACCCTATGAGTAGGTGCTTCATTAAATCAAATGGGAGCCTGAATCATAAAATAAAGAGGCAGGAGCTAAAGGGATGTAAGGAAGGGGCTAAAGGGATATAAGGAATGGTTGGAAGAGTTATTTACTTTAATAGCTAATAATCTCTTTATAGTAAATGGGCAATTATGTAGTTTAAAGAACATGTAAGACTGTGTAGTCAGTATATAAATGCAAACGTAAAGTAAGGACCATTCTAACCATTCTTCATTATAGCAATGTTAGGAAATTAATAAGGTTTCATAGAAAACTGAGGTGGAGCATAAGGCCTGTGGTAAAACTCAGTGTCTAATGGGTTTGTATGCTGTGCTGAATGGTTATTTTATGCTCCTTGTCAATGTGGTTTACAAGAAGCATAAAATAGGAGCATAAAATAGAGAACAAAAAAATGAGAGAAAGAAATAATAACTCTAAAACATCTTGACTAATCATTTTTACTGGTAACATAGTGGCAACATGTGTAAAATCTACCAGTTTAGAAACTAATTTCTAACATTTTATGATTTTGTCAAAGTAAATGATTAAAAGATCCTGGGAAGTACTTTAAAACATAAATGTAACACTGAATAATGTATGATATTATATTTAAGTCTTTAGCAGAGCTCCCATTTAGACATTTCGATCATTTTTATTCTCTTCACATAATAAAAAAGCCGATAGGAGTAGCAGTGATTTTTTACGGCTTTGAATGCAAAACATATTTTACTCTAAAAACTACAATTGTCTGAATAGTCAATCTGTTTGCTCTGACGATGAAAGCTTTTTCTCAATTTTAAAATCTCATACCGAACTCAAATGCAAAGTGAGCATGAAGTGCTTCCCTTTTGTCATTGCTGTATTAACAGCAGCTTAACAGCTTAAAAACTTTTTGGGAAAAACTGTCGTCTGAGCGCGGAGCAAGCAGAATGCTAAATATTTAGTTTAAAAAATAATATAATAGCTGATTAGTAAAGAGGTTAATACTTGAAATAATTGGGATGTAAATATGGTTAAGGTTTATTGAGGCGATGGCATCCATAACTTCTCCAGTTATGATTATATGTAGTATTTAAGGTAGAAATATAGCAGCCCTGCAGTAATGGGTGGAGGGAAAGGCCATGAAAGGTGTCATGGGGGAGCAGCAGATGTCAAAAAGTCATCAGGACCACCATCACAGCTAGCAGACCCAGGAGGACTGATGTAGAGGCATTAACCTTAACAGAGAAGGTTCGAACAAAATGAAGGGTAGTGGTAGAAGCCAGAAACACTGTAGCTTGAGCCCGTCGGAGGAGTGATGCTTAATTTTCTGGTAGTAGGTCGCAAGCATGGTTTGCAGTCCCCACAGCCGTGACCAAATGGAGAAAGGAGCATTTGTAAGAACAGAAGTTTCCTTTCTTTGTGAGACGGCAGACATACCAGAGACACATCTCTCTTTCTGTGGTAAGGATGAACGGAGGGGGTTGATTAAGGTTCAGCGGGCCAAGCTACGAGCAGGGGTTGGTAAAGTTGCCCACACCTCCCAACGCTAGAATGTGGTCTTCAGCGAACAGAGGCAACTTCACTCAACTTTTATGACAAACTTGATCCATATGTGTTACATGTAAGCATGAAGACTGCATGTAAGGACTACATGTTCTGTCATTGTAACACGCAAACACATGTGGATATGAGGGTAAAGATAAAAGGAGGAGTAATTCAGTTACAAATTATTAGTATACTTTTGTCTTTTTTTTCTTCTGGAATGCACATGTATCTTGTCATATATCCTGAATATACTTTACTACTTTATGCTGTAAGATGCTGTAAAAGTAACATTTAAACTATTGAGCACTTTGTCATGAATTAGTTATGATGCTAGTTTAATATATGGCTGGAAATTTGGAACTGAATTGACTCAAGCTCATACCCAAGTTCAGTTTGTGTTGTGAAACAGTATCTTCAGTGTTATGTTATCACATCAAGCACTGCAGACAAAGACAACACACAAACAGAATTGGGACAAACAAATGGAAGAGATTTCAAAATGGAAATGATTGTTGATTTGAAAATAAAAAAGACTGCTTAAGAAGCAACATGATTGTGTATGGGCTTGTGTGATGTTTACACGAGTACAACATGTTATTGGCCTCATTCAAAACACTGGAAATGAAAGTAATGATGATTATATATATAAGTTTTTTATTTTCCTTTACATTTTCTTAGACTTATATGCTTACCCAAGAGTCCCAGTTTGCAGGCTGTGGAAAGTAGACAAGGTAACAGAATAAGAAAAGCAGAACTCTCTGAAATGTTTTGGTTTTCAATTAGACTTATCCACTGCAGGCCCCATGCTCTAAACCTAAAAGACAGTAGCATCCGATCTCAAACAGAAAGAGTAGAAGCTCCGTTTGACTGAATCTGATGTGCAGGGTGACAAAATGTTTAATGGGGCAGATTCTGTTGAATGACCTTTGCATATGAAAAGGTTTAATTGTTGTGCGTGAAAAGATATGAACATTTGCATTTTTAAACTCTGCAAAACCATCTAAGATCTCAGGGTCTGACATCCAAACATGAATCAGTGAAAAGGGCAGTTTACTGATGTGATATTCCAGTGGATCCAAACTAGGTAAGAACAACGTCTTCCATCACCCCTTCAGCCACCTGTAGATTTCATCACTTGATACTTTGCTCAGCCGGCCACAGCACTGAACGGACAGAAACCGGGCATGGCTCTGTGGTTTGCAGACATTTCAACTAATTAATTAAACACGTATGTTTTCAAATGTAATTTTACTGAAATGCAAGAACCTGAGCATTCAACATGGTATTGTTAAAGTGTATTTCTCTAACTATACATGCTGTCTGTGGCGTCAAAAATCTAAATGAGCACCGGAGAGACTTTATGGACTCAAGTGCTCTCTGCTGCTTGAGGCTGATCCACACATATAAAAACCAAAAGAAAGTGGATACATTTCTTAATCCTAAGCATTTTTTCATCAACTTTTATGTTTATTTATATATGTTTTATTTATAAAATGGATGATAAAAATGAAAAGGTTTGTAAAAAATGTTATTATTTTATAAAAATGTATTGAAAAGTTATTATTGAAACAGATCCCAGAAATTCCCTGTAGATCCTGTCCTGAGGAGAAAGCAGGGCTGTAGTCTGCAGGTCATGCCATGAGTGATCTGTGGCTATAGTGCTGAAGCTGCAGGAAGTGGTCTCTAGAAGCAGGTTTCTACAGATCATCATGCCATCATCCACCACTGGTCTGGCAGCGGAAAGAGCAGTGCAGGCAACACCTCAAACTACGCCCAGCTTACCAAGTCATTTCATGTTGTATCCAGACTTATCGAGTTTACTTCAGCATATTTAAAGTATTCCATCTATTCTAAACCAACAGCACTATAAGCTGTCATGTATCATATGCTGTAAAGGGTAATTTGGCTTTTGATCATTTGCCTGACATCTTTGCCTAAGACAGTCCATGCTTCATTGAAAAAAGATCAACTTGCTTCTGGACTTAAATATTATGAAATGAGCTTCAAGCTTGACTGAATACAACATGAAATATCTTGTGAAGACTGACATATCTTGCAGTAAAAGGGTCTCTAAGATCATGCCATGAATCATCCACCTGGGTGGCCGTGGGGGGCTTGTTTGCTGCACTGAATGAGTCCAGGTCCATGTCCAACAGGCTGCTGACTGCAGGACTGTCAAACTGATAACAACAGGAACAGTGGCTTTCATTGGCTTACTGTGTTCAACAGTGGTAGCAGGAATAAGGAGAGTATATATCTGAATAGAATGGCATTATAGCAGCTGGGACAGGCCAGAAGCTCTGATCTGAAAAAGAAAAAGTTACAGGTCCGTTTCGCAGGTCTTGTGCGGCAGATGCTCACTGACCTCTGTGGGGGAGGTGACGCTGATGTCAGGAGCCGCTGCAGCATCAAACAGGTTGATGATGTTCTCTGTTTTCAACTCCTTTGATGGGGTCACCTTTGGTGGAGGAGGCACTGCTGGTCTTAACTACAATTCAGAAAAAAATCCAATTAATGGATTGGCTGTGTGTAGCAACATGTATGAAGCACTCATTTCCATACATCAGGAAACACAGGGGTCTGTGTTGTTTAAAATTGAACTGCCAGGGAAATTTTTCTTTTTTTTTGATGAAAAGACAAATGAAAGATTTGTAATCTGTTATCTTACAAAGTGAGCACTACTCCTTGAACTTTGACTTCAGCATTTTCATCAGTCTACCTTAGATGGGGATTTAGGGATCGGAGGTGGTCCTCCTGGTCTGAGAGTGTGGTTAGTTGCCTCTTTTTCACTATATAGATGACAAAGAAAAAAACAGAATGCCAAAAGGGAAGATAAACTAACTGCAGATAATTTAATAAGGAGAGTTAACAATGTCAGAGGAAAGAGCATAGAAACATTTAGAAAGGTAACAGGGCATGCAGTAGAAGAATTCAAGCAGAAGTTTTCACCGCAAGAGCTGTCATGCAAGAAATATCGACCTAACTTCCTTCTGATCACCTTCACCCATGCAAGCAGGCTTTGTTTGTGCCTCCAATTAACCTTCATGATCGAGCAGTGTGAGAGGCATACGATATCTGGCAAAGGCAACGCCAGAGCTGGGAATACGAAAAGAGTTGAGCATACCTACACATCACTTGTGGAACAGGCCATTTCTGTACAATGGTGTCTTTTTGGCAAAGAACAATGTTATGTGAAAGGCTCTCATCAATTTCGATGGGGCACACATGACAATTTATATCATTGACATGTGTGTAAGACTCTTTGAAGATGATTGCATGTACCAGTAATGTCCCTCTCTATAAAAGTCAGTCTAAGTAAATGTAGTTTGTTCTGCTGGAAACTACAGTTGGCAATCTAATCTAAACTCAAACTTATCTTTTTTCCCACTCCCTCACAGAGGCAAATGGCTCCTCACTGCCTCTTCCAATCACATACAGCTGAATCTAATTTGTAATTAAACAACATTTCAGACAGACTAAAGAGAAGTGAAGAGGGCATCATGCATAATTAAAAACAAGTAGGCAATATGAAGTGCTTTACAAGGGCAGAGAGGGTGGTGTAATATTATTTACGGTTATATCCTTTTGGATCCCTGTTCAACAACGGATAAACAACAACAAATGAGTACTAAAATGTACAAATGTGATATGCATACTGATGCATGGATTCTGTTGTTTGACATCAGGGAGACAAAAATAAGTGAGGTGCACCACGCTTTATACAAATGGCCTCATCTCTGGTCTGTTATGACTGAGCTGCCCGGAATGTCATACTGAGCAGTATAACTTTGAAGTAAATGTGATTATTTTATCGGTATAATCAATAACATTTTGTTAAGGAGATCTATTCCTACAGAAGGACTCGATGCCTAGTGGTTCTAAAAATATGTTCCCCACTTCGTTATCACATATCCTTCAAGTCCCAATTAGGGAGAGACGAGACACCTTGTGTCAGTGCTGTTATGCACCAGCACTTGCCTGTTGTGGCGGTTTGCTCAGCTCTTTTCTAACCTCAGCTCTCTGAAGTGTCTGTGAAATCACTTGCACAACCAAGCACTGAGTTCCCCTGAGTTCTCCCGTGTCTGAAGACTGATTGACATGAGACAGCTGGACAGACAGGTCAGTTTGGACAAACAGACAAGAGCTGTGTCGCTATGATTACCACAGTTACCTCCTGTTTGCTCCTGATGATGAAGCGCCACGGTTACCTGTCTTTCTGAAAGGGGGAGGTTCAGGAATGGCTAAAGGTTAATGCTTGCTATTCTTGTTGCGTAGAATCCTTCATATATGCAGATCTGTGATCTATGAATACCATCTTTCCACAATGAACCAGGAAGAACAATACCAACAATAAATCAGGAAAACTCTCAAATTAAGAAAAAAGGAAAAACAAAAGAATTAGGCCGCTGTGTAAAATATGAATGTGGAGTCATTTCAGAGTAATATCTGAACAAACTGCATTGTCATGAAGAATTATAATATTCAATCTGCTGAGCCTACCGTCATGAAAGATTTCTGAGAAAATGGTGAGATGTGCCTGAAATTCTGTAAATGAAATCTCCGATCTTTGGGACCTTAGGCAGTACTGCTTTAAAAAAGGAAATTGATTCTGTCTTGGAAATCCCTGAATGGTCTCAGGAACACATCCAGAAATCACTGTTTGTGAGCACAGCATGGTGTGCCTTCCATAAATGCAGGTTAATGCTCTATCATGCAAAGGAATAGTCTTTTGGTCACATGATCCAGTAGCAATACTGTCCTCCCTGGAGCTTTTTTAGAACTGACTGTGGCACGGAGGATATCCTTTTGCAATTAGTGGTGGAAACTCTGTGGTTTAAATTAATTCCACCTATGGCCCTCATGGGATGAAAAAGCAGCAATGACTAAATGAATAACTATATGAAAACTCCATCTGCATATATTTCACTGCCCACCATATAACTGAGAACAATAATTTATGGGTTATTATTGATTCAGATGTTTAATTTCACTAACCCAGGAATGAATTAAGGAGGCTTAACAAATTATATCTATTGCTAAGTTTTAACACAAACAGCTGTTGTAGGCCGAAAGGGGAAATAAATGTTGTTAGTGTTTTTACGTTGACTGGATTTCTATTAAATTAGAACTGAGTTTCATATGATTGATCTTGACCTGTGCAACCAATAAAGGCTACTCTGCAAATGTTTTGCCACACTGTGAGAGACTTTTAATGATGCTCATTGCTCACTTACCCGCTTGTGTCTGTAGTCTCTAGTTTCTCCAAGACATCATATAAATCCTGATCCAGCTACAAAGATTGGAAGACACACTGTGAGATGTTGCACTGAAAACAAAAAGCAATTAATTCTCCCAACACACTCCCACATATTAAATAAATTTGAATTATACTGTTCCGCCATCTTCACTAACAAAACACTGCATAATGTGTCCCCCACCCAAAGCGCTTTGTATTCTTGTCATACGTCCTGCCATTTTGAAATGCCACTGTCTCGTAACACGATCTCGAGAACATAAAGACAGACAGCATCTGTATTTGTTAAGTGAAAAAAAAATATGAGAAAAATCTATCTATAGTCTGTCAAAATGTCATTCTCTACTCATTGTGTCATGCTACTTTCTTGCAGTGACAACTTTTTCCATGGCCTGTTGTCTGATATAATGTGAGTAACCAAATGTAGTCATTTATATTAATCCTAGAGGTCTACAGAGAGTTCTTACCCGACTCATTTCCTTGTGAAACTTCTCCTCAAAACCAGCCAAACTCTGGAACGTGCTGACGTAAAACCCAACACGACTGGAGAGGGCACAAAGTACAGAGACAGTTCTGACTGGACTGAAATAACTCATTAGACTTCATGTAACAACCTTATAAGATAAATGCAGCACAGATGTACAGTCATGTGTACATTCATACAGTATGCCTGAAAAATGCACACCTGTTCCAGAGAGAAGGTAACTCCTCTTGCAAGTCCAAATTTATCTCCTCAAACACCTTTTGGGCTTTTTCAAATTCCTCCTCCGCCTGAAAGCCACACATGAACACACAAAATATGTTATTGTGTAACCCAGTGTTCTTGGCACTGAATTTAAATATTTAAAAAATATATGGAAATGAATAATGGGAAATTGCATGGTTTAAAGGAAACAAGCAACAGTATCGCTTCATAAAAGCATAAGAAAATTTTAATTAATGGAAAGGCTGAAAACATAGGAGTAACATATCAAAACAACCAGTGTATATAAAGATCAGTCATTCACAGATTAGAAGCAGAACTGGGAACCAGTGTGGTGCCACCCAGTGGAATTAACTAATCTACCAAAAAAAACCCTCAATTTAGCACTGATTAAAAAATAGTTTAACAAAGATCATTTGGGATTTTAATTTGTCTAAAAAAGCATGCAGTCATTAACTGATTAGTTTCTCTGGTTTCCAATGTGAACAGAACTGTGTGTCGTCAGTGAAACAATGGGAATATTTCCATATTGTCTAAGGAAATGCTCCAAAAAGTCCAATCTCAATCCACAACCTTGTGAAGAATCCTTAATCAATCGCTGGCATGTGTAAAGGACACATCTTTACATAAAGTTGCTTTAATGACTGCTGTGCAAGAGCTCTGATACCTCTGATAACATCTTATTTTCATCTAGCTCCGGCTGTTTTGTTGTTATTAACCGTAACCTTATTTAACCTTCAGGGGATAATCAAGAGCAGCTCAACAATTAATCATCGCTACTGCGACAGACACCAGAGGGAGAAATAGAAGAGTGAAAAGAAATGTATCCAAATAGTTCACCCCAAAGAACTCTTTGATTACAGAACTGCCGGAACAATTAATATGAATTCCTCCATAAACAGGGTACCTGGCTCCTGGAAAGGCTGCTCTGGGCAACATTGTGTGCAGACAGGATTCCTTGAGCCCAGCCTGGAGTGGCCCTCTCCAACAAGGAGGAAGGCTGGAAAAGAGAGCACAAATCAACACATAAGCGTCTGCTAAATTAGCCTCATAGAATGTTAATGCACATAAACAACTCTGGCTTGTTTTACCTTCGTAATTTTAATCCCCCCGTCCTTTTTTTTGGACTTGTGTGTAGCAGCATAGTTATGTCTGGCACTGTCAAAATCGACCAGCTTCCTGTCCCTCTTGGCAATACGGGCCTGAACACAAAGACAACAGCAGACTGCCTTGAGTTGCATGTAATTTAATACAGATTGTACTTCATTATAATAAAAAAAAAATACAGTAATCTCACAACTCACACTATCATGTGGGTAGAAGTCTGGAAACTACTAAATCTGCATTAATGCAATTGGTCCTTGGGTGACATGATAACCATGCAGCTTACCTTGATATCAGGGAACTGGCCCAGGTAAGTATCCATGGAGATTAGAGCATGGTCCACCAACTTTTGATGGTAATCAGTCCATAGCACATCACAGTCCTACAGCATAGATGAATACACACAATCAAGCACAACCACACAATACATGGTGCAAAAATGTAATTTCTCAGTTAATTTCTCATTAACAACTCCGTAGTTATTCATTCAATAGTCATATTCCCATAAACTCAACAAAGTTAGTGGGACTCGTTCAAAGCATAAAATCATTAGATAAACACTTTAGAATCATATACTTTCTGAACAGGCTTTTATGATTAAATTATTCTCAATTGCAATAATGATGTACATCACTAAAATGTATTGTTTTTCAGGACTGACGCTAACATTGAAGAACTCTGAATAGCACAAACGATCAGTTTTTAGCACAGTATGTTAAAAAGGTTGTTAAGAAAAACTACTTGTGTTCATGATCAGGATGTCTGAAGAACTTTATAAAAAGCCTTCACATTGCATTTATATCTTTTTAATCATTGAATAAATAAAAAATCTCTAGGATCAAAAGTGTTTAAGCCATTACCGTTTTCATCATGCTCATTCATTCAGAGAGTCACACAGCTGTGCAAAGCCCCACAACGAATACACAGCTTACTGCGTGTCCCGGCTTTGACCTCTAAGTGTTAAGCATTATTATCTTGAGACTCACACATGCACACCATCTAAGTATTTTAAATCCATCAGTAAAAAGTATTTCTGACCTCCACAATGGAATCCACCTCATTTTTGCCGTACCATTCTGGTTCATACATGTCAGCTAGACATGATTGCACGTTCTTGGAGGACTCGTGCATGGCTTTAAAAACAAACAAACAAAAAACATAGACATTCAATGTGCATTAGTTAAACTGCAAACTTTTTCCATTCATTACTGAGTGGGCTTACATCTTCTGCTTAAAAGGATGTGTTTGCCAGTGTGAGTTTGTTACCTTTGACTGCCTCAAGATATGCTCTCAGGTCCCTCTGAAGTTTGCTGCCTTCAGTCTGGGGATGAACCACAATGCAGGAGGCTCATCACAGTGCAACATCGATCACAGTGGATTCAGATGAAACAGCTACAGTACTTCTTAAGGTTCTGCTGCTTTTCAACAGCAGCTCAATAGCGTTAATCATTTCTTGACAAATATGAAAATATAGGAGGGGGGGGGATGTGGGGAGTCCCTGGACTCACATATTGTTTGTTGAAGTTGATTACTCCTTCCTCAAAGGCAACATCTTTGGTCTCATCTGCTTTACCCAGCTTCTGTAGAACCTGTCAGGCGAACAAAAGTAGGATTTATCAGGTATCCATCATGGTCTGTTGGCTCAAAGCACGATATTAACTTGTTCAAATAGAAGTATAAGGTTTCTTCTGTCTTCTTTTGTAATTAATTCATGATAACTGACTGGTAAACAGCGCCCCCCTTTACATTTAGGAGGCACAACGTGCAGGCACTCGATCGCATAGGCCTCCAATCTATCACTCATTGCAGTAAGGTTGTTTCATGATTGACTTTAAAGCATAAAGTATGAGAGATTAAGCCTTTCCAAAAAAATCTGTCAAAAAACAAATAAAGAAAAACAGTAATTTCGCTATTTCACAGACAATCTGATACAACTGACAGATACCAGGACACATCAACCATGTGATCGAATGTGAGTGGGCCTTACTGTATGGCAATATCAATTAGACGTGTCCGTGTGGGGACATATCTAAACGTGGAGATGCATCTTAATTGGACGTCCACAGAGCATCCCTGCTCTTACTGTGATGGAGTCGTGATGCGACACTGCGCCTCGGCGGAGGATGCGGCACTGCCGCTCCGCGGCGCGCAAAGGCCCCAAACGCACCGCAATCCCCCACCAGCTAAAAACCAACCGAGGCGACTCTCACCTTCTCCTGGGCTCTCGTCAGCTTTTTCTGAACGTTGCTGGCCACTTTCCCGGCGGTCAACCCCTTTCCTAAATTCAGCTCAGCCATCTTGTAGCGTAGATCGGTTCTCTGGGCGCGAGGGAGAAGGGAAATAAAAGCACTAACGATCTGCTGGACCGCTACGGCGACCTTTGGGGTAAATACATCAATGTCCAGTGATGAAATAATGATAGTAAACGCAATGCTGGAATATCTATAAGATGATATGTGTGTGTGTGTAGAAAGCTAGACTGGATTCTCCTATATTGGACTGCTGTACGTGCGCGCGCGTCCCTGACAGCGGAGGAGGATGCTGAGAGATGATCTTAAAGGGACAGATGCTCTCGCGTTTGCACTTCCACACGGGAGAGCTGCATGTAATCTTGCGCAACAAAATGATCAGGATGAACGAAAACTAAATAAAGGCCTGACAGTTTGTCTTCAACGGTTTTTGGATAATCTTGATACGTTTTGATACCTTTAACTTGGGCTCTTCAGGTCATCATGTGGTCAAGAGGAAACGCGATGGGCAACCAGTCAAGCATGCTTGGCATTATCGCTTCAAAACTATATTAGGCTACCACTGTTGTTGCGTAACATGTGTGGTATCATGAAAAGCTCACTGTCTAATAGGCTATCAAATGAAAAGCTGCCCAGCAATTAAACTACACCAGCAACAGACACAATGTAATTCCAATATCATCAATAATCACCAAACATGTATTCAAATAATAGAAAATATACAATAACATGTACAGATTATGCAGAGTAGATTTCAGGCATAATTATAATCATGGTAATATTATAATTTATCTAAAAAAAATCTGAATGCATTTGCAAAAGCAGAGTCAATTCCATCTCAATCTGACAGCACCACTACCGTTCACACAGGCTTTGTGGAAATAGGGTCAACACCTCTGTGAATGTAAAGTAATCCGGGAGGGGGCGCCATTGACATGTCACTACTGTAGTCGCTTCACTGCTGTTAGAAAACGAATTTATCTAATAAAATATTTGATTTGTATGTTAATTTTTTTTTAAGTCTTACAAGGGGATCTAGACAATGGCTTACATTTTGAAGACAAACAGAAGAGGCCAATGAGGGATGATTTTACAGACCTCCCATAAAAGGCTGTTAAAATGACCCGTGTTTAATGTCTAAATGACCATGGAAAAGATCTAACTCCTTGGTTCCCTGGTCACCAGTTGGATAAATGGGTATCACAACTGCATCTTTTGGCTTTGGCTGACAGGTGGTTGGTGGCCTCAGGGCGCTGTCCGAGGTTCTGAACTACTGCATTGTGGTTCTATAAACGTCCGCTTCTGGACTAGAAGAACAGATTCTGCAGCTTTCTGCGTTGCTTGGAACCCAAAACCAACAACAAGAACGAAATTCTGTTCGAATTCAGTTCATAAATGTCAGTATGTATGAGTTTGTTCCAGTTTCTATTGCTTTGGTTGGTCTATTTCGTATTCTATTATAAATAATCAGCATTTCCCTCTATACTAATCATTGCAGATCCTTTACTTTTATCTTAATCGCGATTGTTGCTGCTGCTCTCTTTCTAATCTCTATCCCCCTCACTTTCTCACTCTCCCCTCCCTTCCCTCCCCCACCTCTTCTCCTTCCCTCCTCCTATCCTCCCATATCCCCGTCGCTTTAACCCCGACAATAACAACATTTGGCCACGAGTCACCAAACCTATTCGTTCACATGCAGTCACATGAATAGCTCCCATCACCCCCCCCCCCCCCCCCCCCGTGCAGCAGGAATGGTTTAACCCACAGAGGGGCAGAAAGACTGGGAGCACAAAGGAAGCGCACATTCTGTCCGTTGAGGAGGGAGATAATTGGACGTATGATGTAAACACAGAAATCTAAAATCGCAAGGCAGCGTTTCCTTTTCCCCATCGCACTTGTCCATTAAGGACGTTTAATAATACATGAAAGAGTGGCTACCAGCCACGCGTCTGTCTGTCAGAGGAGAGGCAGTCAGAGAGGGAGGGATTGAAGCCAAGAGTGGAGAGGAGACGGAGGAGTTGAGCTTTGTTTCATCCTCGCCCTGAGTTGCTGGCAGCCTCTGGAGCGATTCCCTGAGACGTGATGCCCGGTTCCTCAAGCTGACCGGACCCGACGTGGAGAAGAGATTGTCCCCCGCTACTTTCCACCTCACTGTGGACACCAGAATGACAAAGGAAGAACGCGACATGTTGCATTTCTGAGGTGAGCGAGTTTTTTTCTTTGTTCGCCCCCAAATTACAGTAATTTGATGTCAGCCAAGCGCACTGATTTTCCGCTGAACTGCGGAGTGTGACGCGTTCCATAAATAAAGAATAAAGTGCATCGTTTTTTTTTTTTTTATTCCCCCTCATCAGCCCCTTGGCAGAGCCTTCCACATTTCCTTAAAGGGAATTCAAAGGCGGGTCAGGCATATGTCAAGCCGTGTATGAATTTTTGGAAATGAGACACATGGAGCTCCGCTTGAGCTCTGCTATTGTTTTCCTTCTATTGTTTTCAAACCGTTGAAGGAGGGAACAGCAGGCGCTCTGACACGAGACACGGGCACTTGGAGACCACTCACAGGTTGCATATCAGTAGCAGTCAGATGAATCCTTCATGGTGTGGTGGGAATAAATAATGTAAAAGAATAAACTCTGAAGCTGACACCGCTGCGCATAATGGGACTGGACAGCCTGTAAACACAAGTACCCAAAATGGATTTTTGCCTGCCACTTAAATGTTTGCTATCTATCTCTCCATCTGTGAACGATATCCTATCATTACAGGATATCGCTTTAACTCTCACAGTAATAGCATGTGAAGCCTCCTCTTAATTAACAGTTTGCAGGAGAAAAATAAGTAATTACAGGCAGCACAGGCAGTGCTCTTTGACTGTTTTCTTTGTTTCAAAGGTGGCGTGTACCTGAGCTCAACCAATCTGAGCTCGGGCAGTTTAAGGCATTATTTTCCATAGATGCATTGTGAGTGAGCAATTGAAGAGAGAGCTATCACAGTCCACATGCTTTTAGGACTGATTATGTTTGATCTTGTGTGCTATAGGGAATGTTAGCACAGCTGTCCATGTGATACAGAGGTACACAGACCAACACATACCGTAACTGGACGCTTCAGAGGAGAGTACGTGTTGACCCAGGAGAGACAAAGAACAAGAAAATAGAGTATGATTGAGCTAATGTTTGTGTAAGTTAAAGAGCCCCTTTGAAAATAAATCCCAAAAAAAGGGTGAAAAATTACCCTTCTCTGCTATGGATGGGATGTAAAATCGCATTAGTGAGCTGGAGATCTCATATCTTATCATATATAATGATGTATTTGAAGATTACATGGTGTTTGAACAGAGAATGCTGATTAAAGGATTTATTGGAAGGAAGCATGAATAAAGTGATTTACAAAGTGAATCTAAGCGATGACTGCAATACTTTTGATTGGGGTGATGCATTGGAGACTGTGCTGGTGTCAGCCCAGAGGCATTCTTACCTTGTAAGCCATTAAACCCTTTAGTAAGACTCCTCATGTTTGTGATTCATTCCCTGTGCTGAAATCTGCATTCAAGCAGATGTACTGGCGGGGAAATAAGTAGCTTTGGTGTTGAAACGTTTTGTTGGCTTATTAGCTATTTTTTACTTTCTTACAATCTTCAGCTCATTATGCACCAAGGCTAGCAGCAAGGCTGCTTCACCGGGGCTCAGCTGTGAGTCTGCCAACAGAACACTGTAATAACAGCTTCTGTCAAAAATTAATGTCTTTTTGATTTATTGTCATTCCAAATGATGTCCGAAACAATCCTTCAAGCCGTTTTTCAATCAAAACTGAGTGATGCCGATTCCACAACAGTTTTTTTTCCAAGCAAATTTTAGATTTTAGAATAATGGCTACTCTTGAGATGGCATTTTAATGGCAGTGCCATAAAAAGAGGTGAAATGACAGGACACCTGCATTGGGATTCAAACCCATACCCTCTCCCCAACAAAGTCTCCATATGGTGCTTCGTTGATAGTTATATAACCAAAGCTGAGAGCCAACCAGCCCTCAGACCTGGGACTTTGGCCAAAGCAACAGGCTCAATCTGCCCAGAAGAAAAAGCTCTCCTCTGTCAGATGTTAAATATCACGTCAAAGTTTTTTTTTTTTCTCAGCACCATCATCGCCACGTTTTTAAATCTTATCTTAATTCACCAAATCCACTATGTTAGTCAGTGTTTAGTTAGATTTCAGTCAGAAATGCTTTCATTAAATGAAGTGATGAACTGAAGATGACATCAAGTAAAAAGGTATTAAAAGAAAAAAATTAATTAAATTATTTTTCATGGTTTCTTGTATTTCGTGCTCTGACAAAGCGTTGCGTAAGTGTTGTGAACATAAGCCAGAAGGACTCAGACTCAAAAGAGAGCACAGAAATTCTGTCTGACAGGGTGAGCCAGCAACAGGCAGCCAGACTCTTTTCAAGACAGATAAAGATGAAGAATGAGTGCGGAAAAACAACTGTGGTTAAAGAAAAAAAAAAAGAAAGTCAGGGCGATGAAATAAAAATGACTGGAATGAAAGAAGTGTGGAGGACAGAGGCTGAAGAGAGGTACTGTTTAGCAAAAAAACGTGCAGCACACAGATCTGTAAAAAGAATGACCCCGGCTAGACAAAGAGATGATGGGGACAAAGTGTTCTGAGGAAGATTAAGGATGAAGACTTTAAGTCTTGCTCACTTGAGCAGACATCCCATGTACTACTGAAAAGTGGGGGTAGGATCTATATTTTTCTTCATCATGCAGCTCACCTGCGTGCTGTCAGTCGGCCCCTCAAACGACAGCGCACCCTCAGGCAAGATTTTAGGTCAATGCGCTATCAGTGTGATGTTGACAGTGTCAAGCTGGCACCCTCTAGCGTGTTCGACTCACAGGATGCAAGAGCCCGTCGGCAATGTGGCGTTTAATGTGCATGTTTGTGTTTGCTATCCTGTTGTAGCAGGGAATCTCTCTGCATCATCAGAGAACCAGAGCATCTAGGCATTTTTAGAGCAGGAAGTGCAAAGATTTTGCAGATATTTTTGTTTTTTTTCATCAGATTTATTCCTTTTCATTTCCTGATCCGGTCAAAACACCCACAAGGCGATGGCGTTTCCTCATATCTGATGTGTACGTGTGCGCAGTTGTCAGGGTTTCTCGTTAAATAACAACTACAACAAGGGGAGTCCACAGACACTGAATTTTGAGTAGCGGAGTTAGCAGAATCCGTGGGAGATAAAAGGAGAGGTGTTCCTCAGAGGAAGTGTGTGTATGTTCAGACGTGTTACTCGGCGATGTGTCTCCTAAGCTCTTCGGCAATTCACAGCTTATTGGTTTGGATTTTCAGCGACACAATTTCCCTGTCTTGGTTCGGTCCGCCCCAATAACATAAGCCAATTTGCGGCAGGGGGCGTGCAGCCATTTTTAGCAAACAAGTGTAGAGAAATCCATGGTACCCCGCACGTCCCACACCAAACAGCAGATACACAAAGTTAGCTGCTCAGGGAAAAGGCAACTGCTGTTGACTGTGGGAAACCTAAGAGGAGACAAGAGTATTGACTTTGGTGGACAGGAGCATGAGCTAAATGGGAATGAGGCTCAGAACCTGATGTGTAAACAGACTGTTGGAACACTCAA